GCTTGGTCCCAAACATATGAAGAGCACTATGTGGTCACAGTTGCAAGACATTTCCCCAGATCTGGAAGCCACAGGGGCTCCCCAGTTGTTGCCTCAGCCCCAAGAGCCCATTTCTTCAGGGGCTGTCATTCCCTTCGTCTTGCAGCCCATGTGCTAAGCCCTGGTTGCAGGCTGGGACTGGGACTAGGACTAGGGCTAGGGCTGCACCTGCAGCTGCAGATGAAATGCAACAGGCCAGGTCTTCTCAAAAACATTCCTCCTTGTTCAAATATCCCCATGTGGAAGATCTTAAAACTGTTCCCAGCCTACCACACACATGTCCCACCTCACACAGAGAAGCAGAGACCGAGAAATGGTGTCTCCCATTGTGCCCACTCAGGCGATTGCAGAAGCTGAGTGTAGCCTGTGCCATCTAAGCTGCCACACTGAATTTCTTTTTGCATGAAATTTAAATATCATCTAGTCAGTCACTGTGGTCACCTTCACATACATGGTGTCCACGTGCCAATGGAAGATGCAGAGACACTTCACAAATTTGACCTAAGTGTTCACTCAGCATTTCTGGGAAAGCTTGAAGACAAATTGGTTCCAATCGGTCTTTGATATGTTTCAAATTAATGCTGGGGGGACTTCTGGCCAAGATGGAGGCATAGATAGACACACTGTGCCTCCTTGCACAACCAAAAGAAGGACAACCACAAATTTAAAAACAAAACACAACCAGAACTGCCAGAAAATCAAACTGTACCGAAGTCTGACAAACAAGGAGTTAAAGAAGAAGCATTCATACAGATCAATAGGAGGGGTGGAGATGAGCAGTCAGGGTAGAGAGACTTGCAGCAAGACCACAACTGGAGGACCAGGAGAGGTGGCAGCTGGTGGAGCAGGCAGTCCACTTTTGCATGTGGATAAACCAGAAGGAACAACTACAGAGCAAGACAGACTGCACAACCCAGGGCTCCAGAATGGGGAAATAAAGCCCCTAAACCTCTGACTGAAAACGCCTATGAGTGTTGCAGCAGAGGGAGAAACTCCCAGCCTCACAGGAGAGTTCATTTTAGAGACCCACAGGATCCTCAAATGTACACCCACCCACCCAGGAATCAGCATCGAAAGGGCCCAACTTGCTTGTGGGTAGTGGCAGAAGCAACTGAAAGCCAGCAGAGAGCTAAGCAAGTGGCAATGTTCCCTCTCTGACTCCTCCTCCACATCCAGCATCACAATGCAGCTACATGGGTTGACTCACCCTGGTGAATACCAAGGCTTTGTCCTTTACTATGTAACAGGCGCGCCGAGACAAAAAAATATGACCCAAGTGGAAGAACAGATCAGAGCTCCAGAAAAAATACATTTAAGCAACACAGTTCAAAACACTAGTAATCAGGATGCTCACAGAATTAGTTGAGTATGGCTGCAAAATAGAGGAAAAAGTGGAGGCTATGAAAAGTGAAATAAAGGAAAATGTACAGGGAACCAACAGTGATGGGAAGGAAACTGGGACTCAAATAAATGGTTTGGACCAGATGGAAGAAATAAGCATTCAACCAGAACAGAATGAAGAGACAAGAATTCAAAAATGTTAGGAGAGCCTTAGGAACATCTGGGACAACTTTAAACATTCCAATATCTGAATCATAGGGGTGGCAGAAGAAGAGGAAGAGGAAGAAGTTGAAAACTTATTTGAAAAAATAATGAGGGAGAACTTCCTTAATCTGGCAAAGGAAATAGACTTCCAGGAAGTCCAGGAAGCTCAGAGAGCCCCAAAGATGTTGGACCCAAGGAGGAACACACCAGGGCACATCAGAATTATATTATCAAAGATGAAAGTTAAGGAGAGAATCTTAAAAGCATCAAGAGAAAAGGAGACAGTTACCTACAGAGGAGTGCCCATAAGACTACCAGCTGATTTCTCAAAAAAAAAAAAAAATCTTGCAGGCAAGAAGGGGCTGAAAAGAAGTATTCAAAGTCATGAAAGGCAAGGATCTAAATCCAAGATTATTCTATCCAGCAAAGCTCTGATTTAGAATGGAAGGGTAGATGAAGTGCTTTCCAGATAAGGTCAAGTTAAAGGAGTTCATTATCACCAAGCCCTTATTATATGAAATGTTAAAGGGACTTATCTAAGAAAAAGATGATCAAAAATATGAACAGTAAAATGACAACAAACTCACAAGTATTGACAACCAAACATTAAAAAAACAGAAACGAACTAAGCAAACAACTAGAACAGGAACAGAATCACAGAAATGGAAATCACATGGAGAGTTATCAGCAGGGAGGGGTAGGAAGAGGGAGAGAATGGGGGAAAAGGTGCAGGGAATAAGAAGCATAAATGTTAGGTACAAAATAGACAGGGGAAAGCTAAGAATAATATAGGAAATAGAGAAGTCAAAGAACTCATATGTACGATCCATGAACTTAGGGGGCAGGGAATATGGGTGCAAGGGGGGTGCTGGGCAGAGGGGAATAAAGAGGGGGAATGGAAGAACTGTAATAGTATAATCAATAAAATACATTTAAAAGAAGAAAAGATGTAAATAAAATACAAGTTAATACTGGTAGAATGAGGAGTGGGTGACTCAAGATCGTCACCCCATGTATGGAAGAGGGAGGCCACTTGGCTAGTTTAGGGACATGTTTAAAATGTCCCATAGTAGAATGTAGAACAGTGAGAAGAATGAAAAGAAAAACTCGATCCTTTTGTGTTACCCTAACAAGACTACAGGACAAGAGGACCCCCCAGGTGCTAGGTGGTGGGAACTGTCATCATCTCGTAGAATTGTCTCCTGTCTCCTTCACACAAGTGAGGAAACAGGCCAGGAGAGGTTTGGGATTGAAAGTCCTGAAACAGGAAGTGTTGGCTCCAGGCTAGGTATGCTAACTAGCCTCTTCCTGGTCAGGGCTGCTTGCTCTGCAGGGGGAGTATGAGGGAGGACAGGACCTGCTGTATGTGTGGTTTTAAGAACACATGGAATGGATATAGCAGCTGGGGAGGTCCCAGCTGGCATCCTCCAGCTGTGGACACCTCCAGCAGGCCCTATGGTAATTCCAGAACCTGTCTAGACACTGACCTTAAAGGACACACTTCTCCAGGGGTGGCTGGATCCTCTGGCAGGCAGATCTGCCAGAAAGCGCTCACGGTGGGCAGAAACTTACTCTCTAATCTAATTTCCACCCATCTGTCCTCCTTCTGCCCTTCCTTGTCCCACAGGGTAATCCTTCTTCCAGGATAGTTTTGGAAATATTTGGATTCCACCATTCTGTGCACCACACATCCATTTTCCAGGTTGAAGTATTTGAGTGTGTCAATGACTCCACTGCCCCTGCTCCCCCCCTCTGCCCAGGGCCTGCTGGTTGCTGTCCTTAGATACCAAGCAAGAGCATGAGGTTCTAGATGTGTCCAACAAGTAAACAATACAGGACAGCCTCCCACCCCCCAATCTCTGCAACGGATTTATGGACAAGAGTAGGTCCCTGTTTTTGGCATGGGATGCTATTAAAACAACACTGCCCTAATTCCTTTCCATCAAGCTTTAATCCAAATAAGATAGGACTAAGTTCCACAGGCTCCTCCAGCTGGAAGGGAGCTTGGGAAGAACATCCTCCCCATTTTCTATACAGTTTCCCAGCACTTAATGCAGACACAGGGTGCTGTGGACTCTCAGGTGATTCCTCCCTGATGTGCGGCTGACCCTGGAGATGGTCACGGGCTCCTTGCCTTGGGGAGCTCCCAAGTTTACCTTGGAAGCATCAGAGTCAAGACAATCAGCAGTCTATCAGATTCTGGTCATGATCCCCACTCACAGTGGGAGAGGGTAAGCTCTCACCAAATCCTGTCTGCACCTTGTGCACTCACTTCACCATCTTGGTCTTCACCAATTTGGTCCGCTGGTCCTCAGGTCCTAACACCAGGGGGCAGTGGCGGGGGGGGGGCGTGGGGGCGTATGTGGCCCAGCAGGGAAAGGCAGGAGGCCTCTGAAGGAACTGAAGCTCTGGGGCCATTACTGATCACTTAGGAATGGCCTCATTTTAAAGATCTTGGCTCTCAGCAGCCAGTGGTCATTAGGAAAGCAGCCTTCGGCTCCCACGTGTACCCTGCAGCCCACAGAGTGCTGGCCAGGTCTGGTGGGCATGAACTCCAACTCCAGACTCAGGAACTGTGTCCCTTTCTCAGGTCCGTGTCCCTCAAGAGGCCTACCCACCAGCCATGGTCCCAGGCCCACCACTTTTCTCTCCTTGCAGATGCGAGTAGTGTTCTGAGGGCACCCAGGGCCCTGCACCCATGGATTAGTACAAAGTAGTACAAAGGTGTGTCACCAGGGACTGCACTAGGGGACCCTTTGCCATGAGATGTAGAAGATGGTGAACCCTTAGTAAGCAGTTGGCACCGGGGCACAGGAGGGCCTCGGAAAACCACATTGGAGGAGGCACCTGCTTGCCTTACCTGAGAAAATGGCAAGGGGTCTGGTTTGAAATGTTCTTGACCAAAGTCAGATTTGCTTAGAAGCAAGCACACAAGTGGCCTGGAAGTCCACACGCTTTCCTCCCACATTGTGCAGGAGGTACCCAGCAGTGCTGTACTAGGGCCTTGGGGGCTGAAACCTTGGGGATTTGGGGGGCCTGGAAAGGGTGAAATACGGTGTAGTTCCCAGAAGAGCAAGTTGGTCCATTAGCAGGTGGTAAGGAGGGGTAACTGGTACTTCATCAAAATTCGTGCTGATCCCAGCAGAGGCCCAAGGCACCAGTGGGCAGCCTCTGGGGGCCTCGGAGTGGGGAGGAGGGTATTGGAGGGAAGTGAAGAAAGGGGAGGGAAAGAGAGGGTGGGGAAAAGAGGAGGAGGGAGGTGAGTCTGGCGGGAGGGGCGGAGGAAGGAGCAGAGAGGGGGAGGGGGGAGGGGAGGGGAGGGGGAGGGGAGGGGGAGGGGGGAGGGGAGGGGAGGGGGGAGGGGAGGGGGAAGGAGAGGGGGGAGGCGGGAGCAGAGGAGGGGCCTGTGCGCCATCTCGCTCCGTCCCTCCCTCCCGCCTTCCCTCCCTCCAGCGTCGGCCCCGCTCCCTCGCTATCCGCAGCATCCCTGCGCCGCCCCTCCACACCACCCCTCGGCACCCGGCCTCCGCCTCCGCGTCTGCTGCGGCTGCCACCGCCGCCATTCCTGCACCAGCGGTCGCCGGCCGGGCACCGCCAAGACGTTTCGCACCAGGTAAGGGCGGGTGGTCACAGGGGGCACGCGGGCCAGGCAGGTGCGCCGGGCGGCCAGACCTTCCGCGGACTCCCAAGACTCCTCCCCTCCCCGGCTCCCTCCGGGTTTGAGCGGGCAGGTGGCTCCGCTAGGCTCCGGGAAGCAGGATTGTGGGGCTGGCGGCAGACCCAGGCCGGGAGCGGGGGCTGGTGCGCTCAGTCTGGGCCCTCTGCGGTCCTGGCTCCCATCCTCGCCCTGCTCCAGCCAGTGCGGCCCCACTCCGGCCACTGTGGCCTGGCTGGGCCCCACGTCTTCTATTTCTGTCTCGGAGGCCGCTGCTTTACCCGAGGGCGCTCACTCAGACAGGTGGGGCAGGTCGGCCCGGTGGCGAGTGCTTCAGGCCTTGTCTCCCTTTAGGGTTTTGGCTGGGTGATTCTGGAACTGCCAAGGAGAATCGCCAGCCTTGGCTTGGCTGCACCTGTTGCAGCAGCCTGGTAAGCTGGCGAGGGGGACGGGGGCCGGGGGCGCGTGCTGAATCCCCTGTAGGTTTGCCTGTGTAAACAAGGAAAGGAGAATGGGGTCTTGGTCGCCTTATTCATTTATTTGATTTAATATTGGGTGGTAGGGGTGCATGGGAGTCCATAGGTGGGCAGTTCACTGAAAATGAGGCTTGTAGTTGGGGGCTGGGCCTTGCTTTCTGGAGTGTGTGCCACATGAAGTGGCTCTGCTTTTGTTTTGTAAACCTCCCTCTACATGGAGCGCATCCCAGGCCTTGGTGGCCAGGCTGGACCTGGGGCCTTTGGCCAAGCAGCTGACCCTCCTGTTCTGAGTCTAACAAATCCGCCAGGTGCCACCGAGTTGAAGGTCCCAGGGGGTGAAGTGACATTGCTGACCTGTCCCCTCATACCTGCCCCAGGCCTGGGGCCTGCCTGCTGTCTGTCTGGGTGCTGTTATTTGGGAGTGATTACTGTGTCCCAGAAATAGGCCAGCTCAGGCAGTAGCAGTGGGGCCAGGATTCTGGAAGAGATAATGCCCCAATTGTCACTTGAACGGTTGGTGTCTGTGCACATCGTCTGCAAGAGTGAAGAAGAATAAAGCAGGCCTGCTCTGAATAGTCCAGGCACTGTGTGCTATCAGGGAGAAAAACTTAAGGAATGAGGGGACACACCAGGCATTTCTGTGGACAAGGACTGTCCCCCTAGGGGGCCAAACCTTCAGACTGATGATATGTGTCTATAGTATACCCAGCAGGTAAATCAAATTGAGAAATAAAAACAAGTGGCTAGGACAGAGGCGACTCTTCTGGGTCCCTCCTTTTCAGGGTCCCTCCCTTGCAGGGTGTTGCAGGAGTTTGAGCTGACATGGGATGGGACTGACTTCCGTGATGGGCTTTACGGTGAGTCTGTCTGTGCTCTCTGAAATGGTACCATTGAGTTCCTCTGCTCACCCTCCTGACCAGCACACATATCTGTTGGGAAATGGAGCCTTGTGGAGACTTCTCCTCTGGTGACTAGGGTGCTCTGGTGGCCTTGCCTAGAGTCCCAGGCTGAAATGTGGGGTGTGGGGCCTCACAGTGTGTCTGGGGAGAGAGATGAACCCCACCATGTGAATAGTCTTAGACCGATTGCATCTCAAATGCCTTCTCCACACCAGGGAGAGATGTCTAGGCCAGTGTTTGGGAGTGCACACTAATGGCTGGCTCTGAGTGTGGGGAGGACTGTTCATCCATGCCAGCACACAGCAAAATCAATAATGCATTGCAAAGATCAATGGTTGTCTCTGTGCCTCTGGAGGGAATCCATCTCTCCTACACCCAGTGTGGACAGGCCCAAGCCTCCCACTCCTTCCTCTGTCCCATGTCTGGTGGTAGGGGAGGGATGGGTGGGACTGGGAGGGTGGTCGCAGAGCCTCCTCCTGACCCATGTCTTGATGTCTTGTGTGGCGACCCTGGGGCCAGAGCTCATGAGACCTATGTCTTTTGGGTGTCCCTAGTGTCGGTGGGCTTAGGCACCAGCAGCTGTGCACATGAATTGACTTCCTGATTGTTTCAGAGTTTATAGCGACTTTCCCCTTCATGCTAAGTAAGTATTTACTTGGTTAAAAAGAACACCTGTGAAATTGAGATGGCAGGCAGTGGTCCCCATTCCCCACCCCTAGTCTCTTCTAGGAGCAACAAGAGTGACCCGTTAACTGTCTAGGAGTACAAGGTGGCAAGGGTGTGGTGAGGCTGGCTGTGTAAAATGTACAAATGAATTTGTCATCTGCTGACTGTTGAGGGTTTTCCCCGAGAGAAAGGCTTTGTTCTTTCAAATTCTCTGCTGGGACAACTGTTTCTCCCTTGACCTTCCACCATTCCAGAAGGGAGAATAGAAGGTAAGAAGGTAAGAAGGAAAGTGGACAAAGCAGTGACAGAGGCATGGCAGGAGGCCCTCTCTTCCTCTCTTTCTGTTTGCCCTGGTTGTCTTAGGGCGAGTCTCTGGGTGTCACCAAGAGCAGGCAGGTCGGGCTGGCTCCTTTGACTGGAGATGGCACAACTCACAGCCATGTCCAGTCTGCCTGCTGTCGGACCTAGCCTAGAGCTAGGGTGGTGATTTCGGCATGCCAGTAAAGGTCTGCCTTGGGACCAGGAAACTGGCTAATCCCAGTTCCTTGCAGTGGGTCACCTTCCCACTTGCCTAACTTTCCTACGTGCAGGCATGGCTGGCTCCCTGCTGCTGCCCCGGGCACTCCAGCAGCCCCCGTGCCATGCCCCAACCTACACACTTGTGTGAGCCTCTGACTATTGGGACAGGCTCTGTTATTTGGTTTAAAAATCTCAGATGCCCATGAAAGCAGAGGCTGCACCCCCTCCTGGATCACATCTTAGCAGCACCTCAGGATTGCAGGGTTTGAATGAAATGCAGTCAGACTAGCATTTCCAAGAATCACTCTTTTTAAAAAATCACGGTGTTTATGAGACAGTTGGACATTTGTTGGGCAAATGTTGATTTTAAAGAATGATCATATTCCTTAACAGCACTGTGGCTATGTTAAAAATTGAAAAGATCATTACCTTTTAGCAAAGGCAGTGGAGTATTTGCAGAGGACACGATACTGTGTTTGGGATCTGTCCATGTGCAGACAGTTGTTGGGTCTGGGTGAGGGCGTCTGAGGGTTCATTATGCTCTTCTGTCCACTTCTGTGTATTTCCAAAATTCTCCATAATAAAAAGTTAATAATAAGTCTAAGAACCCCATTTCCCCCAAAAAACATTCCATAGGATTCTTCACTTCATGAAAGAGTTCAAAGGTTTACTATAAAAGAAGCACCCATATATGAAGTGAAAATGTCACACGTGTGTAGGTACCCACGCAGAGAAACCCATCTGAAAGGTCACATACTTTATGGAATAGGTCATTATGGAGTGCCCACTGTAAACGAGTAGGATGGCCACTGCTCCAGGCTCTGGGGACACAGCTCTGAGCAAAAGCATCCACTGTCAGGGATGGGTGGGAGGAAGGTGCATGTGAGTGTGTGCATATGTGTTGGAGGAGGGAGTATGTGTGTTGGGGGAGAGGCGGGGGGCATGGGGGAAGCATATCCTTATTTCTCTTATATATATTTGGTTTGTTTCTTTTACGATGGAATTACTTTCATAATTTTAAAATTAATTTTTAACAAGAGGCCTTCATTAAGTAACATAATATCCTATTTTAAATATTCTAATTTTCTGTATCTACATACAAGTTTATTTTAAATGGCATTCGATTTGTAGAAATTCCTCACACAACTTAATAAGAGATGATGTGGCTTAGCCCTGACTGGTGTGGCTCAGTTGGTTGAGCATTGTCCCACAAAGTGAAAGGTCACAAGTTCCATTCCTGGTAGGAGTGCATGCCTGGGTTGCAGGTTTGGTCCCTGGTTTGGGTATGTATGACATGCAACTGATCAATATTTCTCTTGCATTGATGTTTCTTTCTCTCTCTTTCTTCCTCCCTTCCCCTCTTACTCTCTAAAAAAAGTGTGAGAAATGATTTGGGTTAAATGAGACACTCAATGAATCAGGAGTCACAGACCCTCTGAATAATACTTTGTAAACTATGAAAACACAGACATCGATAGATACCCTGCCCTTGACAGAATGTAGACAAGACCCAAACCCTGAAATTTCAACAGCATTGTATGACCCAGCAATGGGAGAGTGAGCAGAAACTGTGCTATCCTGGCTCATGGGCTGTGGCGCAGGAGGCCCTCACCTCAGACCCACCACAGCCCTGGTTCTGGTGGAGAAGCACATTCCGCTTCAGAAGTGAAAGCAAAGGTGGGTCAGAGCCTTCACAGGTGTCTCCATAGCCAGTTGGAAAGCCTGCCACCATGGGCTGTTGCCCTCATTTTCCAAGGTTTTGTCTGTCTTCTCCTTAATTTACAACAACAGAAATGGTGTAGAAGTGGTAAAAGTCCACAAAGTGAAAACTACAAGTTGCCCGGAATTCTAGTTTTTGGGCTTTTTATTTTCCTGCCCTGTTGCAAGAAATTTGAGTTGCTTTTAACACCAGAATATAATTTGCTCTGATCTCCAGATTCTAGCATTTGGGTGTTTTAGGCCAGGTGTGTATTTTGATTTTGTTTGGAGGGACAGTGTTCAGGGGCCCGCCCTAAATAAGAGCCTGAAGCTGTGTTCCTTTGTTCTCACCTTGTGTTTGGGAATTTTCATTGTTGTTTTTTGTTGACCAGTGTTTTTTTTTGTGTGGCTGAGGGAGGGCACAGCTGGGCTAAACCCTGAATCTGGGGTCATGTCTGTGTGGCCTTGAGCCACCTGCCATGAGGATGGGTGCAGCATACACCCACTTTTCCCATTCACCTCTGGTGCAGTTCATGCTTCCCAGTTCTTTGAGGGGTTTTGAAGTCCTATCCAAGCAGAGCTGTGTCATCCAGGCATTCAGGGAACTCAGCAGGTCTATGACATTGGTATGTGGTATCCCATTGCTCATTTTTCTTGAGTTGAAGTATTTGGACCTTTAAGCCTCTCTTCACTCACAAAT